TGACTAAATAAAGATAATTACAATATATATATATATATACTATAAGTAAAAAAAATAATATAAAATAATAATATAATATATATATATATATATATATATATATATATATATATATATAATAATAACATGAATAATAAAAATAAATGAATAAAATATCCATATAATAAATAAAGGGACTAATATAGATTTTTAAAAAGCTCTTCCCCTCCTTTAACCGAAAATCAAACCGATTTTTAAAAAATAAGCCTCGGGGTAGATCTAGGTTCGAAACTTTGAAACCCCACCCATTTTGGTCATCGGCACAACCCATGTTTTGGGTTATTCGAACCAAATCTCAAGAACAATAACGTGCACATGCAAAAGAAATAAAAAAGAAAATGCTACCTTTTATTTCCTTTTCGAATCCTTTACAATAGCTTTGCATTTGTATCTTCCCGTGCTTTCCTCTATGTTTTGTGTGTAAATCGTGTCTTCAAATGGTGAGTTACAATGGCTATTTATAGTGCTTGTAGATCCTATTTTTAGGAATTTAAATAAGAGAAAATCGCCTCAGTGACCAAAAATGCCTTATAATATACGATTTTAACCAACTTTTTTTTGATTTGCCAAAATGACCAACAAAATCGCAACGCGATATCAAAACCGCAACGCGATTTAGAAAAGCGCAACGTTGAAAAGAAGATCGCAACACGATCTTCCAAGAATCGCAATGCGATTCATAAAATCGCAACGCGATCTTCCAAGAATCGCAACGCGATTCAGAAAATCGCAACGCGATCTTCCAAGAATCGCAACGCGATTAAGAAAATCGCAACGCGATTCCAAGAATCGCAATGCGATTCAGAAAATCGCAACGCGATTCCAAGAATCGCAACGCGATCTTCCAAGAATCGCAACGCGATTCAGAAAATCGCAACGCGATCTTCCAAGAATCGCAACGCGATTAAGAAAATGAGTAAATTCTTTCAAAAGTTGTTGCATTTGTTTCTTTCTTAAGAATTTTCTCTAAAAAGATAGTATCCGCGCGGACGTGTCGAAGACACGTATTACCACGACCACGACCACGACCACGACCACGACCACGACCACGACCCGACCCGACCCGACCCGACCCGAGACGGCGGCGGCGGCGGCGCGCGAGAGTCCCCCTTGTTCTCTTTCACTCAACAAGGAAATGGGAAATCCAAGCCTTAAATACACTTCCCAATAGTGTTTCCAATACTATGTGGGATTGAGCATTACTCAACACTTCAAAGAAAATATAGCAATTTTTGTAGTATTTTCCCACTTAATCCATATCTAAAAATATTAAAACATTTTATCAAGAGAATTAAAAGAGTTGTAGATATCTACATTTCAATTCAAACTTATACATATAGTTTTAATATGATAAAATGTTTTAATATTTTTAAATATGGATTAAGCGGGAAACATGCTACAAAAATTGCTATATTTTCTTTGAAGTGTTGAGTAATGCTCAATCCCACATAGTATTGGAAACACTATTGGGAAGTGTATTTAAGGCTTGGATTTCCCATTTCCTTGTTGAGTGAAAGAGAACAAGGGGGACTCTCGCGCGCCGCCGCCGCCGCCGTCGTCTCGTCGGGTCGGGTCGTGGTCGTGGTCGTGGTCGTGGTCGTGGTCGTGGTCGTCGTGGTCGTGGTCGTGGTCGTGGTCGTGGTCGTGGTCGTGGTCGTGGTCGTGGTCGTGGTCGTGGTCGTGGTCGTGGTCGTGGTCGTGGTCGTGGTCGTGGTCGTGGTCGTGGTCGTGGTAATACGTGTCTTCGACACGTCCGCGCGGATACTATCTTTTTAGAGAAAATTCTTAAGAAAGAAACAAATGCAACAACTTTTGAAAGAATTTACTCATTTTCTGAATCGCGTTGCGATTCTTGGAAGATCGCGTTGCGATTTACTGAATCGCGTTGCGATTTTCTTAATCGCGTTGCGATTTTCTTGGAAGATCGCGTTGCGATTTTCTTAATCGCGTTGCGATTCTTGGAAGATCGCGTTGCGATTTTCTTAATCGCGTTGCGATTCTTGGAAGATCGCGTTGCGATTCTTGGAATCGCGTTGCGATTCTTGGAATCGCGTTGCGATTTTCTGAATCGCGTTGCGATTCTTGGAATCGCGTTGCGATTTTCTTAATCGCGTTGCGATTCTTGGAAGATCGCGTTGCGATTTTCTGAATCGCGTTGCGATTTTCTGAATCGCGTTGCGATTCTTGGAAGATCGCGTTGCGATTTTATGAATCGCATTGCGATTCTTGGAAGATCGCGTTGCGATCTTCTTTTCAACGTTGCGCTTTTCTAAATCGCGTTGCGGTTTTGATATCGCGTTGCGATTTTGTTGGTCATTTTGGCAAATCAAAAAAAAGTTGGTTAAAATCGTATATTATAAAGCATTTTTGGTCACTGAGGCGATTTTCTCTTTAAATAATAGTAGAACTCTATCCTATTTTTTGAATCCTAGCAAAATTCTATCCTATCTTTAAGAGTTTGAATTCTAGTATGACGAAAAGGTGTGTTGACACTGTAGATTTGAGAGAATGGTTGCTTGCTTTCGGTATGCTACAATTGACGTCCATTCTGTCTACCTTCCACCCTCGAAAGTTAGTTTTGACTTTGAGAATCAGAAATGGATACAGAAAGAGGCAGATAAGTTTTAGTATTTGCTTTGTTGATTATGCTGAGCATAAAAATGAACGACTATGACTGCTGATGATTTCCGGCAATAATATTATCTGTTAGAAGGTGCTCTCTGTATTTTGTGAATTCGTCATGTTTAGATATTCGGTAAATTGTTTTGAAAAGTTTGAATATGTGGAGTTCCATCGTGATTACCCTTTGTGTTTATCAATATAATTCTGATAAAGGATAGAACTTTGGCAAATGTTAAATATTTTCATTGATGTTTTTAGTGTCTGGTTTCTTATTGTTCCTGGATTTGGTTCAGGAATCGTTGCAAAGGGCTTTGAAAAGGGAAGTGAAAAAAGGGGAATCTGCTATTGACATTCTTGAAATTAACCGGTTGCGGCGGCAATTACTTTTCCAATCTTATATGTGGCACCATCGCCTGGTTTTCGCAACCAATTTAGAAAATTACAACCTCCACGACACCGATATGCTGGAGCTTAGAAAAGGCAGTGAAGGCTGTGACTTTGCTCTTCCGGATGCGAAGCTTGATAGGGGCTCTGACAAAGGAGAATTAAATGGCAACACTAATCACTCAGACTTGATACATCAAGAACCATATACGAGTGAAACTTCAAATCCTGTATCTGTAGACTATGGTATTCTTGCTGATAGCCAGAGCATGTATGAACAACTGGAATGTGAGAAACCTATGGAAAATGTTCGCCGGGCCATGTCTGAAGACCGGTTTCCTGTCATAGAAAATTTGTCAGATACCCTCGAAGCTGCTTGGACCGGCGAAATTCACCGAGCAGTTGCCTACCCAAGACTAGTACGAGTTTTCTTTCTGATTCTGCTGCTTTAGATATTACTTTTGCGGATTCAGTTGCTAAGGGTATAGATTTCGAAGTCCACTCTGAAGAAAAGATTGAGCCCAAGGTTTTTCATTCTCTTTCTCCTGTATTGTCTACTAGAAGCTCTGAAAATATGACACTGTAAGCTGGTTGAAAATGCCTTTCTTAAGCTTCTACCGTTCCTTGAACAAAACCCTTTTAGGACATGCTTCAAAGATCGATACATTTACTGAATATAATCTGATCTATGTTTCGTCATTTAGAGAGTTAGAAGTGCAAGACGGCGCTAGACTGCTTTTGCCAGTGGGCTTTAACTACACCGTATTCCAGTTTACGATGATGAGCCGACAAGTATGATCTCATACGCTCTAGCATCACCTGAATATCATTTTCAAGTAAGTCATGATGGGGATAGGCCTAAAGAAAATGGGGATTTAACAGCCTCAGTATCGTTACATGAGTCAATGATTCAATCGTCACATTCTGTTGATGAACCGAACTTTGATCATCATAGAAATCTTGGTTGGACGGATAACATTACTGGATCTCACAACATGAATATGGATCCACTCTCCCTGACAAAGTATTTGCATGTAAAGGTGTCTTTCGGAGATGATGGATCGTCTGATAAAGTGAAATTTATGGTTACATGCTAATACGCAAAGAGATTCGAAGCCTTGAGGAAAATGTGTTGCCCATCAGAGCTAGATTTTATAAGGTCTTTGAGTCGTTGTAAGAAGTGGAAAGCTCAGGGTGGCAAGAGCAAAGTTTTCTTTGCGAAAACCTCAGATGACCGGTTTATTGTTAAACAAATCACAAAGACAGAGTTGGAATCGTTTATAAAAATCGCACCTGAATATTTCAAGTACTTGTCCGAATCAATTAGTTCTCGAAGTCCAACGTGCCTGGCAAAGATTCTTGGCGTTTATCAGGTGCTTGTTACTATGGCTTCAGATGCTCTAAAGCTACATACGATAATCATTGATCTAATTTCTGTCAGTTAGTTGGAATAACCCTGACATAATCTAGCTTTTAAGTTTAAATTTATTCTGGTTGTTTGATGATGATCGCGGATACTTTTCAACGAAACCTTTGCTTTTATTGCACATATTTCTGTGATCATTTATTTATTTTTCTTATTGTTGATTTCTGTTGGAAGGTTTCTGCAAAGCTTCTTAAAGGCGGGAAAGAGGCAAAGATGGATGTTCTGGTTATGGAGAATATTCTGTTCGGAAGAAATGTCACGCGGCAATATGATCTCAAAGGATCTGGATCTCGTTATGTTCCCCAATCCAGTGGAAGCAACAAGGTTCTGTTAGATCAGAACTTGATTGAATCAATGCGGACTTCCCCGATTTTCGTGAGTAATAAAGCAAAGCGTTTGCTGGAAAGAGCAATCTGGAATGACACTGCTTTTCTTGGTGTAAGTTTTAGATCTTTTCTTTCATGCTCGGTCCTGCAGATTGATCTGAACGCCATCCCGTTTTTCTTATTTCTTTATCTTTTCAACCTTGCAGGCAAGCGACGTGATGGACTACTCGTTACTGGTTGGAGTGGACAAAGAGAAGCACGAATTAGTTGTCGGAATCATCGATTACATGAGACAGTATACCTGGGACAAGCATCTTGAAACTAGGGTGAAGGCTTCCGGCATCCTTGGTGGACTGAAGAATGCATCACCGACTGTAATTTCGCCGAAACAATACAAGAAAAGGTTCCGGAAAGCAATGGCAACGTACTTTCTAATGATCCCGGATCAGTGGTCTTCTCCTACCACATCAGGCAAATCTCAGTCAGATACAGGCGAAGAGAACGGACAACAAGGGACCTCTGCAAAGTGATTTCGCGATCGAAATCTCGAAGTTCAACACTCCCATTCTGGCATTGTTCATAGGATTGGTTTCCATTTTTCAATTCTTCTGGAGGGGCAATTATTCATTTACACACATAAAAGCGAAGGAATTCATAATTCTTTTGATAGGATATGTGGAACAAGGCCTCTTCAACTGGGAATTTCTGTCGAAGGTCAAATATTTAGCGACCTTTGCATGAATTTTTTGTACAAAAAAATCTCTCTCTTGTATTTAGCATATATATCCCACCATACTGTTAGTTTGTAATCCATTGAAAACTAGCCTTTGATTGCATTATGTAAAACCAAAGTGATTGATTACAATAGAAAGAGATTTTTTGGGGGAGTTAATGGATTAATGTGGACAAAAAAAAGTTATTCGTGGATTAAACTGAAAAAAATTAACAAGTTCAAATTTTAAAAGTTATTCTATCCCTTGAATATTTAATGTTACAATTTGAATCGTAAAGGCACACCTAGTGATGGGCATGGGACTCGAAATCGATGGGTTTCAATCTGATCGGGTTGGGTTTTTTTTTTAAAAAAATCGGATTTAGGTCGGGTCGGGTTTTTTTTAAATGTGATGTTCGGGTCGGGTCAGGTTGTTTAGGATGAAAATACCGGACCGGACCCGACCCGAAAAATATATAATTTTATCTTATATATTTAGGAATAATTACAATAATGCCCCTCTATATATTATTTTTTTTCAATTAAGTCATTATTTTTATTGAATAAAAATAATATTTTTTATCATTATTTCGGGTCGGGTCGGGTGGAATCTTGTTTTGGTCGGGTCGGGTTGGATCTCAGGTGGACTCCTTGTTCTAGGGTCGTGTCGGGTGGACAAAAAACCGACCCAACCCGACCCATGCCCATCCCTAGGCACACCATATGCAGGCTGCATCTTGGAATTTGATTCTTGTTAATCAGCAACAATTTCGGTGCTTCAATACAACTTCAATTACTATTTTGATTATTTCCTCATATCCCCTTTGTATAGGAACCGAAAAACAAAAGTCTCTTACATAATTGTATTGTCTGTTTTTATTAAGGATTTAGGGATCTATAGAACTTTTTTAAGAGGGAAAAGTTGTAGATAATTGTCAGTGGTATTATAAAATTAACCTTAAATTTCTAAAATAACTCCTCACATCAGCGTTTTCTTAATATTTTTTAAAAATGCATTAAAACCCTAAAGAAGCCTATGTATAGAGATTGACACACATTAATGAACAAAAGCACTAAACACCGTAATACTTGCTGTACTGTATTAAGTTACACAGCATATGTCAAATTGAAAATGTTTCATATTTTTGAAAGAGCTATGCTTTATTATTCAAACGACTGTAAGGATTTATTTGCACTAAAAAGAAATTGTTCCAACTCCCAACCATCCATCCACACTTCAAACAATTACTTATTCTTTTTAAGAAACTTTCCCAAAAAATCAATGTAGATATGTATATTTTTAAGCGATTATATGTATTTGACATGTTTTCAACTAATCGAATACTCGTATTCATGTTCGAATATTTTTTAACCTGCCGTGCTAACAGCATATGAGCCTATGAATTGTGAAATGCTCACACTCTTAACTGAAGATGAAATCCAATGAAGAAGCTTCTAATATGATAAAAAAAATGTAATCAATTAAAGATTGTTTTTTAATCTTTTTCATATAATGTTGTTGTGCAATATTTTGTAGAATTAAATTCTCCTTTCGATGAAGTACTGTTTCGTCTCCTGGCTTAATTTTATGTGAATTTGTGAGACTAGGACAATGTGTCACTGTTGTTTCTTTTTGAGAGGGTAAATGCTGCCATTTGGGACAGATGGAAAGCTTTTGTTTAATGGTTCTTCACTTATCCAGCTCATGTGGGACTTATAAAACAGTTCTACATTGGTTCATAGTTCCTCTACTAGCCTAAAGCTTTTCTTTTCCTTGTTTGCCATTCTCTGTTCAAACTTCAAACCTGCAATCGCTTTCACATGCCACAGTTTATATTTACTTATTTGGAAAACAAAGTTAATCTTCAACAAAAGCATGGATCTTGCGAGCCCCAAATACTTTCAAGCTCCACTTCTGTTCTCTAATGGGGTATTTTTGAGCTTAAAGATCCCACCTTTGTTGCATTCTTTTGTGTTTTTTTGTTGTTGCAGTTAATGTGTTTGTGTTTTTGTTTTCATGGGATTTCAGGAACCGGCTATGGAGATTAATGGAACGACAATTTATGGAGAAAGCAATGATAACCGATTTTCAGACACACTTTGCAAGATTAATCTCAAGGAGACATCTGAGTTTGTCAAGTCATTCCCAATGCCTGCTTCAATGGAGAGGAGGCGAGTTGGGGTGAACTCACTGACAACTCAAAGGAGAGTTTTTGAAGCTCCTCCTACACCAGGTAGGCCTGTTTTCAGCTTCAGCGGCGGTGGAGGCGGCGGAAACGGCGGTGGTGTTGGTGGTGGCAATCTTGCCAGAAGAAGCTTTCCTTCAAAGTGGGATGATGCAGAGAAATGGCTAATCAGCAGCTCTTGCCATGGATCTCCAGCTCACACAATGAAGCCCGAGTCATCAAAGGTAGCTAAACAGTGTGATAACTTTAAGCAACAAGCTGAAGTATTTAAAGGGTCAGTTCCATTGGAGCACCATAATCAAACCAGAAGCTTTAATGGTGGAATTCCAGGCTCCAATGATGTCTTTCTAAAAGGTGCGATCTTGTGATTTTATGCTTTTGATTGTGTGCTGTTGAATGCAGTTAGTTTTCATAATCACATCTGTTTTTATGTATGATTATGTAGATAAGTTCACAGATGAGGTAGAACCGATTTTTCCGAATTTCCGATGCTCAGAGCCCTCAAGGGAAGGGTTTCTGTTCCGAAACTCGGTGAGTGACACCATGAAAGATGCAGGCACTGAAGTGTTCCATGAAGTTAAACATAAAGACGCCGGGACGGAGATGACTCCGCTAGGAAGTTCCACCACTTCTAGATGTCACACACCGTCGTCGCCCGCCCGACATAATACACCGGCTAATCGGTCAGGTCCTTTAGAACCTGCCAATTCGAATAGTTCCAATAGCACAATCGACATTTCCCAGCTGCAAGAGTGTCATCTAGCTAAGTTACAACTCGTGTCGCAATATGATTCTATCGCATCAAATTGGAGCTCGAGGGAGGAAGAAGAGGAAGAAGTGTCGAAGAGCCTTAGACATTTCGAAACCGGCAATGTGTGCCGAAGGAGTGTTTCGGATTCACGGACTCCTACATGGGAGGAAGAGGAAAGGACTAAATGCTTGAGGTAATGAGGTAAAACATTTGTTGGCATTGTCTGTGTTACGCAGCATATAAGTAAATGACCATTGCTCGGGTCATAGGTATCAAAGAGAGGAAGCAAAAATCCAAGCTTGGGTGAACCTTCAAAGTGCAAAAGCAGAAGCTCGATCAAGAAAGCTAGAGGTACTTGTTCAATTTTTATCGGCTTTTGCACCCTGTTCCTATTGTCGTATCGGATCGGATTGTACTTCGAAGCGTTATCCGAACTTATTAAATCCTTTTCATCCTCGAGCCACCCGCAACTCGAAGATACCTTCTCATCTATTGCTTTTCTTGACTAGTCCACTTCTGTTGCAGAGCATTCCCTCAATTCAATATTCTCTTATCTGCATGCTTATCCCCTTAAAATATACATGAAGAAGGCCGAAAAGTCGTCGAAAACCGATTTTTATATCAAAACTGAGATGGTTGTAACTTGTAATTCCATCTCCATGTGATGTTCCAGCGTTAGAAAATTAATGGGAAACTGAAATGTTTACTTAAATGTGAGGTGTCTCCTGCCTGGAAGCTTGGTTTTTAGCCATTGTTGAATAAAATAGTGTATGGACCATATTTAATAAAGGCTGCACTTGCACTTATTCAATTATATGCCAATGATCCATTAGTGGACTAACACTAACTTTCCTTTTTGCAGGTGAAAATACAAAAGATGAGATCCAAGTTAGAGGAGAAATTAATGAAACGAATGGCGGTTGTTCATCGAAAAGCCGAGGAATGGAGAGCTTCGGCTCGACAACAACATGCCGAGCAAATGCAAAAGCCGAACAATACGCCGACGATTAACCACCGGATTAACTTGAATTTTTCCGGCAACATCTCATGTGGTTGTTTGCCTTGCAGTAACAGACACTGAAAACGATGGATCATCTCCAATTGCATGTAGAAAAATCACATCAGTAACAGTGTGTGAACTGTTTGACATTTGAGTTTCAGAGAAATGGAATCATCTCCAAAAGTTTTTACACCATTGTTGTTGTGCGTTTTTATCTTCATATTATTTTGTTTGTGACACACACACATGGATTGAGGATTTTGTCTTCTTTATGTTTAGTTCTGTTGTAGAACAAGGAACTTGTCTGGTAATGCTTGTGGACCAATTCGTCTAACCCCATAGCAACGTTTGTGAGTGTGACCCACTGATAATTGCACTTGCTGTGGACCAGAAGCTGCAGAATATTACACTACATTTTGGTTATACTCACCGGACTCAGGCTGAGTTGCCAATATAATCAACTAATAGTTTATAACAAGGTTTCTAAAATATTAGAATTTTATCTCGACCCTATATTAGATTCCTGGCTTCATCCGTATATATATTAATGAGGTTTAATTATAAAATAAGGGCTAAAATTATAATTATTATTGATTTTGAGTGTTTAAATATTTTTTTTTTGTCAAAACAGGTATTCAAAGTTTCATTTTGTTTGCATTTTCTAGTAGCTTAATATAGGAAATTTTGTTCAATAAATGCATGACATATGACCTCATTCATCTCATTCCTTTTCCTTCGATTTTGAAGGGAAATAAAAGAAAAAGGGAAAATTGCAAAATTTGGTTTCATTTTTGAGAAACTAAAAGAAATTGAAAGTTCCAAACAATTTGATTTCAAGAGAAATTCATATGTTTGGGATATCAAGTTTGATCTATGCATCTTCATTTTCTCTCTCTCTCTCTTGTGAAAATAAAAAGTTATATATCCCAAATAATTTGATTATGAAAATTTCTCTATCTGTAAGTGAGAGTAAAACTTAACACCCTACCTTTTTGTCCTAGTTATGAATGTGCTTTCTAAGATGCTTGATCTGACAGCTTCTAAGTGTGTGTTTCAGTATCATCCTAAGTGCAAACGGATTGGTCTTACACATTTAAGTTTTGCTGATGATTTGCTAATTTTCTGGAAGGGTACGGTGAATTCGGTGGTGGGGATTCATTGTGTTCTGCAGGAGTTTTATAAATACTCGGGGCTGGTATTGAATTCTCTTAAAACTGAAGTGTTCTCGTCAGGTTTGTGTGAGATGTCACTGGGTTTAAATTGGGGCAGCTTCCTGTGCGTTACCTTAAGGCGCCTTTGGTTAATCGTAGGCTTACCGAGAGGGACTGTGCGCAGTTGATGAAGAAGGTCGAGGGGAGGGTTGGTAGTTAAGCTTCTAAGGTTTTGTTTTATGCTGGAAGGTTGCAACTAGTCCAGAGTGTACTGTATGGGGTTCAGGCTCTTGTGCTTCCTAAAGTTGTTATTAAACGTTTGGCTCAACTTTGCTCAAGGTTCTTTTGGAAGGGTGGTGATTTGAAGGCGTGCGGGGCGAGAGTTAGCTGGGAAATGATTTGTAAGCCTAAGAATGAAGGGGTTTGGGGATTCGAGAATTAGACAACTGGAATTCTGCTAGTATGCTCCAACATGTTCGGGAATTGATTACTAAAGCGAATTCTTTTTTGGTTCAGTAGGCAGATGTCCATGTATTAAAGGGTAATCCGTTCGTGGAGTTTGTGCCTCCTAAAACTTGTAGTTGGTTTTGGAGGAAGCTACTGAAGTTGCGTAGCTTGGCTGGTTCACTTGTAGATTCCACTACGGGGGGCTGGAGGTTGCAGGGGAGGTTCTTTGTGAAGAATGCGTGGCAGGAGATTCGTAGGAAGCAACCAAAAGTTCATTGGGCTAGGTTAATTAGGTTTCCTCTCTAGATTTCCCGTAATGCTATTATTGCTTGGTGTGCTTTGCTTGACAGATTGTCTACCAGGAGAGCTTGTAGGGGCCATGTCCTCCGAAATGATAAAATTTATTTTAGTACATGAAAAAATAGAAGAAAACTTGTAGTCCTTTAGTTCTATTGAAAAAAATGTAGTTTTGAGTTTAACCCCTCAAAATTTCTGACTTGGCCATGCACGTAAATGGTCAAAAAGTGTACAGATTAGCATCTCAGCACACGCAAAATGACAAAGCCTTTGATAAAAGTTTTGCAGTAGTAGTAGTAGCTTTTGTCTCGTCGATATGCGACTGCCCGTGGCCATTGTTGCAGCTAAATTACAGCCCCCATAGATCCACTGTCACCCACACAGTAAAAAGATATACCATATGGTAAATGTGATGGAGATTGGAGCGCATCTTTTGCGGATCCAAAAATAAATTACTGTTTATCACGACCAAAATGAAGAAACAAAGACAAGAAGACCGAGACAACCCAGACAAAGCCAAAGCAGTACTTGCAGTTGCAACCATCTACAACTTTCATTTGCTAACTGGAATGCTTACTTGTTACTGTTCCCTGCATTGTTACAAGCTTCACCTTTATCTGTTTCTTTTAACAATTTAAAACTATTAGGCACTGTTAGGCTTCAAGAATAAACGATTAAGCAAATTTCCCAACTCTTTTCGGTTTCAATAATCTTCCATAAATTCATCAAACAAGTTATTTTGTTTTAGGTTTAACTTTGATTGTGAGTTCGAGCAATGGAATGTTTAGAATCTTTTTTTTAATTATTGTCAACCACAACATATGAACATCCCTGCTTAAGTCCAATTTGTCTGATGAAAATAATAATCCTTTTTACCTTAAAATTGGCTATCTAATGAAGTAAAAGCCCAAAGTCTTGGGTATGTGTCACTTTCTAAAGCCCATTAGGTGAAGGTTGAAGCCTTCTCAATAAATCGTGGATATTCATTATGAATTCTTACACGATCCCGAACGCAGCCGTTTCATGTGCTGGTTTGTTTTGCGAGAAGACTAGCAGACTTTAAAAAAAGGCAGCAGCTTTCTCTTTCCTCTCGTTTGGTTGTTCTCGCTTGATACTATTTCGTCAGTAAATCATCTGTCTAGTTTTTGTTTTTGTTTTTCTAGTTAATTTTCTTTTCATAAATTAGCTAAAGTTTGTGGGTTTTATTTTGTTCGTTAGGTTTTGATAGATCTAACACTCAATCGATCCAAGATGTTTCTCACCAGGTACCAAATCAAAGCATATTTGTCCCTCGTGAAGTTCAATTTTCCCCCTTTTTTTAATGTTTGGTGATTGGCCTGTGAAGGACTGAGTATGACCGTGGGGTGAACACATTTTCACCGGAGGGAAGATTGTTCCAAGTGGAATATGCTATCGAGGCCATTAAGGTAGAAGTTTCTTTTTATTTTTTCTGTTTGTTTCCTTAGAGAACCATCGAACTCCTCCATCTCTCGAAGGAAAATTTGCTATTGGGTCTTTTTTGTTTTTAAAATTTTTGGGTTTGTGTGCAAATGGGATTTTTTTTCATTGATTGAATTGCAGCTGGGTTCAACTGCAATTGGGATAAAGACGAAAGACGGTGTAGTGCTGGCTGTCGAGAAGCGTATCACTTCGCCGTTGTTGATCTGTAACCTTACTTGATTTAATGTTATTATATAATATATATGCTAATTATTTCTGCTTTGGTTATTTGTATAGTTAGTCTTTGCTTGTTTGTATTTTTTTTCATTGGCTTTGCTTTGTTGTGTATTGTGTGCGAAAATGCAAATTAGAGGATGTGACTTCAAGATTTGGCGCTCCTTGGAGAATGAATGAAGATTTGGGTGCAAGCGATGTTGTTTACTATTACTTCTTCCACTCCATCCCAAATTTATCATTGAATTTCGTAATGCTAGGCAGTATGTCGGTTCCAAGTAAATGTATGCTGCCAATTGTTTACTCTGAGTCTTTGACTTAATGCTTTAACACTTGAAGCTACACTCGTCATTTTATAATGCTACCTGAAATCCGGCACGCAGCATTGTCACATGTAGTAGATTTTGTGAAATGTGGATTATTGCAACTTTTTTCAGGCCTCATAGGTACTGGACTCTCTTTCAGGAACCCAGCAGTGTCGAGAAGATTATGGAAATTGATGACCATATAGGATGTGCTATGAGTGGGTTGATTGCTGATGCACGCACACTTGTTGAACATGCTCGGGTTGAGACTCAGGTAACATAGTTGTTAGTACCTTACCATTTGATATGAATTTATGTGTACCTTTTATACTGATATCTTCAAAACTCACACAGAACCACAGATTCTCGTATGGTGAACCAATGGCTGTGGAGTCCACAACACAAGCTCTCTGTGATCTGGCCCTTCGATTTGGTGAAGGAGATGAAGAATCCATGGTACTATTGCATATAATTTCTGTACATTGTTGTTGGTATTTTATTTCCTTTTTATGATGCTTGTTCCTCATCGTAGTAAACAGTAAGTAGAACAGCACTCACAGTATGACTTATATACTTGTGCATTTTTTTTTTCAATCTGATATAGAATTCTACCTTTGGCATTACTTTTGAAGTGCTTATTTACATAGAGTAATGTTTTCCCATGCAGTCTCGACCATTTGGGGTGTCTCTTCTCATTGCTGGTCATGATGAGAACGGGCCTAGCTTGTAAGTATCAAAGAAGTTTACTTATGTTGGCTTTTATGTAGGAAAATTGCTTTTGGCATAAGAGAAAGATGAATGGATTTCTGTTGCATTTTTAACCTTTACGACCTACATTTCTGTGAATTATGATGTTACTAGATGATTATATCATCTCTATATTGATTTCTTAAGACTTAGTTCCTGATCTGCTCTGCTACAATTACTCTCACCAAAGTTAAAAATGTTCCCATGGTTTGGAGGACCGGTTTCAAAATGTAGTCATTTGCTAGTGATGATTCAGTCCAGATGTAATTATTTCATGCTTGTTTTAGACTATAAGGCTTTAAGAAGTTGAAACTGAAAAAAGCTCTAACGCATCGTGTATGTGATGTGGCTACCATGATGCAACATATATTAATGCAAGATTGGATTATTACAGATCAAACACTTATTCACTAAATCAACTTAATAAGTCCATCATTCTCGGTTGCTTGTCGATTTATGACTAGGGTGTCTAATTATTGATCGAGTAACATGGTTCTTCTAGCGCAGTTATAATATAAAGGTAGTTATTGATCCCTATAAGTGTTTAAGTTGGAGGTATCCTGTCTAATAATGTCAATCTGAATAATTTCAGTTGGCCGATAAAATTAAGTATCCAGGTTTTGTTAGTAAAATCCCAAATATGGTTCCTAGAGAACATGTGACAAACTTGATTTCATTTACCTCTTCGTACTTTTTGCAGGTATTATACTGATCCGTCTGGCACATTTTGGCAATGCAATGCAAAAGCTATAGGTTCAGGCTCCGAGGGTGCAGACAGCTCTTTGCAAGAGCAATTCAACAAGGTATTTTTTTTGCCTCTGTATGTTGTTTTCACTCTCGGTTGTTTTTAGCTTTGGTATATTGATTTTGGAGTCTTAAGTCTTATGATATCTGCTCACCGGTGACTAAATAACTAAAATTAGTGTCATGTCCATTGTTTTGACATGCTCGTATGTGCCCGAGTAATTTGGTATTTGATTTACTAAAAGATTCCCCTTCTCCTTGCAGGACCTAACTCTTCAAGAAGCTGAAACAATTGCACTGTCCATTTTAAAGCAAGTAATGGAAGAAAAGGTAAGGTTTTAAAGATTGTGATGTAAATGTATGTTCCATTTCGCTGACAAATATCTGTCGTCAAACAATGATATTTCTGCAGGTGACACCGAACAATGTTGATATTGCCAATGTAGCACCAACTTACCATCTATACACACCTTCGGAGGTGGAAGCTATTATCACTCGCCTATGAGAATGCATTGTCATCGACAATCTTACCGTGCGACGACTTGCTTTCTTCGTTTATTAGGCATGGAGTTGGGGGAGGATCTTGTATTTGTCTTCTGGGGATTCAAACTTATGAAACATTAGTTTCTGGTTTGGCACTAAACTCACCTACTCGGTTGGATAATTTAATTACAGCTGATCAGAAAAAGAACCCTTTTTTAATTGCATGATTATGTTCTCAGGTTCTACCATTGCCTTTTTTATTTTATTTATGATTTTAATCAAATTTGACTATAAAATAACATATACACACGGTATAATGGTATGTATGAGATGAATAATATATACACACTATATTAATAGTAGAATTTAATTGAACATTTAATTATTCTTTAGGTTAAATCCATAATATACACATAATACAAGGATTAATGAACCTATCATCAAATATAATGACATTATTACATAATGGAAATTATTCATAGTTTTGCCGTCACCTTTAAGCATCGCATTCCACTTGTGTTTATCCATTATCGCATTCTCCACATGCTTGCCTTCACGTACATGACAAATGTGTATTCGTTCTTCTTTCCCACCATTTTCCACTGCATCGTTAATCATGCCTAGGCATCATCTTGAATCATAATTAGCGTATGTCCGCTTGAATTCTGCACGGCGGCTTTCATATTGAGAATTGAGTTTAGACAACCTAGCCGGGTAAAGAACCGTTCAATGGTTCATTAATTATTCGCCGGGCAACCAACAATCAAAATGAGGCCATCAAGGTATGCGTAACACAGTTATGAAAGTGCAAAAGAATTTTGAGAGAAAAATGCAAGCAAAAACAAACTTATTTTAGTCTCATTAAAACTTGTACAGTTCAATGTATATAATGACGGATTGTAATAAACAAAATTCATGTTTCAGAGATCCTAATACAGACAACAGTCTATATCCAAATCAGTGGCAGTAAAAAAGCTTCAAGTCGCAGACGGCCAGAATTCTACTTATTCCCTATAGGATTTGAAGTGCTTGGAGGTATTCTCCTGAAGCTTGAATCAACCAGCTTCTGATGGTTTCTCTTGTCAGCCTGCAAATCTCCAAAAACTCGAGAAGCTGAACCTTTCACCGTTCTCAACACCAACGAAGAATGACCGTGTCGAATCTGACGAGCTTCTGCTCGTTCTAGATTATACAGAGATGTCCAAAGTAGAAGAAAAAGAGTAAGAACTGACGGTGCTCGAGTGTTTGCTTTCATTGCTGGGAATCTTTGTTGTGAGTGAAGTAAATGATTGAAACAAAGTTGGTTTGATCTTGGGTTTCTCCCAATCTTGCTACTTATAAAGTTGTTAGAAAAACAAACGTAATGAGAAATCAGAGTGAGATCATGTGCTATATTGTTGACTGTTACATGTTGTAACTCTGACCGCAGTGTTTTGCTATTACAGAGGGATCATGTGATTAAGCAGGTTGTTTTTGACTAATTTATTCTCTTCTTGGGGACCTAAATGTGTTCGGTTTTATAATGTTAAATTTTGATATCGGATCTCTATAGATACTGCAGTGCAGGTAACAGCTGTTAGGGAAGATATGACATATGCTAATCGTAGTAGAACTAGTTTCTCCACTGCTCAAACTGATCACTCTTTGGCACAAGGATTTAAATAATGGTCTGCTTTCAGACCAATAATCGCTATATAACTATAATAATATGGTCTAAAATTATTATTATATGATCATTATATTTATAATAATTATAATAATTGCTTTTCTAGAAGGTTGTTTATGTCGTATCATTTTTCTAAAGAAAAATATAGATTACTACAGAGAGAGAGACTTGAATATCGCTTAGGTTGAATTCAAATTTAAGATCGTTCAAGGCGGGTTCAAATATATATTTTAAAATTATATATTATTATTAGTTAGTCTAAATAAAATTATAAAAATATGTCAATACTTATTAGGAGAGAGAAAATAAAATAAACGATTCAAAAATTAATTAATATAGTTGTTGCTGGAAAAAAATATAATGTTGGTGATAATTTTATAAAATTAATTTTTTGAACATAATAAAAAATAATAGATTGGTGATTTATTATGTAATCTGTTTTAATTTTTAAAATTCGAATAAAGTGCATAAACTCAATTATCGGTTGAGAGGTAAAGATTAGAATGGATATTTGGTTTAAATTTGATGTGCACCGACTTAAAAAGATAGAACTATTTTTTTAATTTAAATTTGAGTCGTATTTAGGTTTAAAGTGAAAAATACGTAATTTGACTCAACGATAATAGTAAAATTTTCATTTATTTATATATTTTAAGATAATTGTTATAATATTATTCTGGTTTATATAACAAATAAATACATAAAATATATTATCATTTTCATTTAAGTATCTACGTATTTTTTCCAAATTAAGTACTTAAAATTATTTTTTTTGTCAAAATAGTTACCTAAAGTATTCAATTTTTGTATCTAAGTACCTAAAGTATTCTTTAATTAATATCATATGTCAACTTTTTTAGGACTTAGATGAAAAAGTTTGAATAGTTTAGGTACCTATTTTGACTCAAAATACTTTAGGTATTTATTTTGACAAAAAGATACTTTTAAGTACTTATTTTGATAAAAAAAATGCTTTAAGTACTGAAATAAAAAATAAATATACTTTAAATATATATTTATGATATAAATCTATTATTTTCTTTATATGTTTTTTAATTAAATCCTCATTTTACTTAATAAAAATAATTTTTTATTTATAAATATGTATTTTACTGGATTAAATAACAAATGAAAAATATTATATCCAGACCATAATCAATAAATAAAAAATTCGACCTCGATCCATAATTATCCCTCACTAGAGGATATATTAGAAGCAGTAATAGGCTAATAGCAGTGGTAGTTGTACGCTACAGTACAAGCCATATAAAGCCAACCCAATAACGGGCGTCAAAATACCCATCCGCTCTCGCTTTCCCTCTCCGTTGGATTTTAATCTCTCTCTCTCTTCCATTTTTCCTTTTTCTTATTATAATAATTATAATTCCGGCTTCGATTCTCTCTTGCATCATAAAAAAAACCGCCTCGTTTCCTCAGGTAATTCTTCTTTTTTTCCGATTCTCCAATCATTTATTTGAATTTTTTGTATGATATTCGGTACTATGAGATCGATCTCCTTTTTTATTGATTTTTTCAGGATTAATTAGAGAAAAATCCTGGGTTAGACTTTGACTTTTTGTTTGATTGATCAACGAAATTAGGCATTCAATGAATTTATCAATTTTCTCTGTTAATTAATCGGTTACGATTTTGGTAATTCCGTTCCAAAAGTTCACACTTTTTATATTTTGTAAGAAAAATAAATTGAAAATTGAAACCCTAAGGTAAACCTGTTACTTAGTTTAAATTCTTGTTTTAATGTCAATCGTCGTTGATTAAAGTTAGCTTAGGAAGAAAATTGCAAATGTATGTTGCTTTTGTTGAGTTGTACTTATGATTCTTGATTCCTAGCTCGTCGAATTCATTAATGGGTTTTTGACGTCTTGATGACTCAATAATTTGAATTTTTGTTCTTATTTTTCTCTGTTTTGTGTGTGAATAGTTTTAATTTAAAAGTTGAAGGAACAAAACAAAGGTGGTGGGGGTTTTATTTGGTTGTGGCTGAGACTGGTTTTAGGTTTCAAGATGGCAGAAAAATCGTGTATTAAGCGCCTTCAGAAAGAATATCGAGCACTTTGTAAGGTATTGTTTTCTCTGTAATATTTCCTGCAATTCCTTCTATTGTTACTCTTTATATGAAGTTATGAATTATGACCCTGGGAAATGCTTAGATATTGTAGAAATCTTGTTAATCATACCAAGTTAAACTTTTATGTTATTGCATTTTCCCAATTTTCATTTCTCTGTGGCTTATGAACTCCTTTATTCAATGCAAGGAAAATTTTATCTCTGGTATCCTGCCTATGAGGCTTGATACTGTAGAGGTTGCTTAATTAGTGAATGGACTGGAACTTTGTTTGTACAAAACTGTAGTCTATATTGTCTATTTTATTGGTTTATCAACAGCAATTCAGCATTATGTTTAACTTCCTTTGAAAAATATATAAAAAAAGTTGGATATCTTTTCTCTCTTTACTAGTAATTTGGTATTATTAAAATATATTGGTTCTAGAATGATTCTTATTGGCATGACTTGATTTCTTTTCAGATATTTTAACAGTTATTCTATGAACTTATAGGAACCGGTTTCTCATGTTGTTACTCGTCCTTCCCCAAGTGACATTCTTGAGTGGCGTAAGTTTATTAAATCTTTTTTTCTCCTTTCTTTAGATAAGCTCTGTAATAGACTAATACTAATGTCAAAACATCTTCTATAACAACAAGGAATTTGCATACGGTCCTAAGATTTTATCCGTATAAAACAAGGAAAATGATTGTCTTCATGTTACCTATTGACTTGAAGAGTGATTCACGGAAGGAATTAACCTGACTGTTGGCTACTTATATATAGGGATCTCGGTTGAGATTCAAATTTATAAACCTTCCTGCTACCTAAGTTCTGGTCTGTAAATCTGTGATTGAGCGTGTGAAATGCACTAATTCATTTAGTAGACTTCTGGAATATTTACAATGAACTAGAGTCCAATCCCTATTGTCGTATGATCCTATTTTAGTCTTCTCTAATTAGAACTTAAAAAGATTTTGCCTTGAAGGAATTGGACGTCGACCTTTATTTTGTTAGTTAATTTTTCTTTTTCTAGTAAGGATGAGTTATGATATTATGCTGATCAGTACATGGCTTGTTATTCCTACTTATTCCTAATGTTGGACTTGTGATCCAAGCTTCTCTAGTCTTTTTATACTGAATTAGGTTGCAGCAGTGGTTGGTTATGATTGAACTATTATGAGTTTTATTTAAGTCATGGTGTGGATGTAGTAGATTTTATGGACTTCATTTAATTTTTTTGCTTCACTCTTTTAGATTATGTGCTCGAAGGGAGTGAAGGAACACCTTTTGCAGGTTGGCTAGTTTATCCCATTTTAGCTTGTGATTAATTTTATCTAATTCGTTATAGAATCTGGAAGTAGTTATCTCATGCCACCATCTGATGTGTTTTTTTGTGCCAAGGTGGGTATTATTATGGAAAGATCAAGTTTCCTCCTGAGTATCCCTACAAACCTCCTGGAATCACGTATGTAGTTTCTTGCAGTTTTGACTTTTCAAAAGTTTATGATAGA